CGCCCCCTTCCCTCCTCCCTCTCGGGATCACCACTCTCTCCACTGGTCCTGAAGGGATCATCTCTCCTGGATTCCCTGTGTTTCCAGTTCCTATCTGTACCACTGTACATCCTCTGGTCTAACCAGGTTTGTAAGGTAGAATTGGGATCATGATAGTGTATGTGTGTGGGCAGGGGTGGGGTGGGGGTAGGAAGCATTTAAGAACTAGAGGAAAGTTGTGTGTTTCATCTATGCTACACTGCACCCTGAGTGACTCATCTCCTCCCCACTACCCCTCTGCATGTTGAAATTTATAATTTATTATATATTTCAACATACCGTGTGGTGGATTTTTCGTTCCATTAGAAAGCATTACCAGTTGTGTCTGTGTTTGAGAAAATTTTCTAGTTCCTGGTAGATCGCCATTTCACCCCACTTGGAAAGCCTATTTCCACACACCAGGACTTCCGTTCCCTCATCATCTGCAAACTGGCACCCAGCAACTCATCCTTTAAATCAGACCAGGATGCTACCAGTAGCATAGGCCTGACCGCAGGCCCCAGCCCGAACAAGAGAGGACCATCTCCAGGAATGTGTTGGGGGAAAAGGTTTTGGATCTCCTTTAAAGACAACTCAAAATAGGAATCCAGTTGTGAACCTGGGAAACAAAGGAGGCCGTGTGCAGTTTGACTACTGACTTCTCAGAGCAGGGCTGCCCAGACTCTGCGTCAAGGTCAATCTTGGGAGTGAAATGACAGTTTCCCTGTTGGAAGTTGTCTCAGCTGCAACCCCAGCACTTTCTGATGGAGAGAGATCAGACCAAATCATCTCCCCATTGCTCTTGGGGACTTTAGAAAAAGAAGCTGTTATTAGCACAGGTTTGTGCTTTGTGTTCCATGTTTATTTCCAATGGAGCATTGCTTGGACATGTATTTGAGATTTGAACAATTACCTGCTCTGAGCAGTGGGCTAAGGAAAACAAAACGCAACCGACATTCTATGATTTGGTTGGATTTCCCTTCATTTTCGGTCACCATTTCAATGAATGAAACATATATGGAGAAGGTAAGAGAGCTCCCTGTCAAGAATTCTGAGAGCTCTTTGTGAGGCACAACGCACTATAGGACGGTGCCCCTTTCTCT